CACTGCAGCTATGTGGTGCTGGGGTGGGGAAGCAGGTTAAATAAGCACTTCAAACATACCAAACTACCCAATAGTATCTCTCGCTCTCTCTCTCTCTCTCTCTCTCTCTTTCTCTCTCTCTCTCTCCCTCTCTCACTGTCTTTCTTTCTCTTCTCTTTTTGTTTTATCCAGGAAAGGTTGCCTCAGGTAAGGGCCTAATACCGTTAAAGGCTGCCGTTGGTGACGGGTGGCTGATTCAGGACCTCGGACCCCAGTCCCACAAAGTTGCTGGCCAGGGCGTCTCCAGCCCAGCCTGCTGCCAGGAGGGGCATTGTCTGCCCAAGCACGTTGGTGCATTTAGTCACCTGTTCGTTCAGATATTGGCTGTCCTGGGCGCTAGGGGCACAGTCCCCATCCAGCTGGATGCACACTCAGGTCTCTCTGATTTCCAGGTCGCACTGTCTTCAGACATAGAGCCATGGGACACACACAGTTCACATCAACAGGTAACAAAGGAGCAGAGGTGGTGGGAGGGGGAGATTGACAGAACCTTGACCTTGGCCACAGCCTGGGCTCTGCCCTGACTGTGGGTGAGTGCCTTGCTTGGCTCACCTGGCTGGTGGCAGGACTGGGACTCAAGTTCAGGTGTGTCTGATGAGGAGGCAGCTATGCAGGACCTTTTGTTAGTGGCAGAAGAAACTTCAGAGGACAAGGTAGTTGGAAGTGACTGATATCCCAGCGGGGTGGGAGGAATTCAAGAAGGGTTCCTTTTCCAGCTTGAATTTCTCCTGGCTGAAGGGGGAGAGGCTCTCAGAGTGGTGGGTGTGGGGAAGGGAGCCATCTGCCCTCTGTACATGCATCTCCCAGTTGGGTCCCAGAGCCCTGGTGGTGGGGACCCATGACTCTGCTTGAGCCAAGACTGCAGGTGTCAACTTTTCTAAAGCTGGAGTTTCCCAGTACGCTCCAGATTATGACGTGCCCCACTGGAGATCTGGATCATCTGGATTTCTTATTCCTTCTGATGTTCAGCTCATGTCTGAGAGAAATCCGGATGTGTGGCTATGGAGCAGGATAGGTGAGCCACTTTCTGACCTCGGAGGCCTCAT